TCACAAATTCAGTGAAAGGAGAGTATTTATGAGTCATTTTTAATAAGAAAAAAGGATAAAATAGGAATATCTTGGGGTCTTTTCATTTAAAAAGCGAATGGACTCGTGTAAATGTTTGTTTATTTAGAATGTCAAATCAAGCATTTAGCAAGGGAGATATGCTGGGCCAACGATGGCCCAATTTTTCAATTTCATCCACTCGATCATGTATGGATGGATATGCCTCTTTTGACTGTTAAATTGGTCATCTAACAAAGGGAAAATGATTTGATCTACTCCTCAATTTTGTCATTTAGTACTGATATGTCCCTCATTATGAAAGTGACTCATCTATATTCTTATCGTTATGCAAACGGCTCACATATATCCCTACCATTACAAAATGAGCTCGCATATACCCTTAATTTAACGGAAGTGAAAAAAATAGTTTTAAATTTATATTTTTGACTTTTAATTTTTAATTTTTTTTTATGTAGGTGTATATATGAACTTCTAGCAAAGTTCAAGGTATATTTTAATCTTTTTTATACATAAATTATTTTTTGACGTCTTTGATTATCATTATTTGAGTTTCTTATTCTTATTTTATTATTTTCTTTCGTTCCTTAATTAGTGGAAAATTTTAAAACTAATTTTTTGTGGCTATATTATAATTTAAAACTATTTTTTCGACTATATTGTTATTTAATTTTTGTATTTGAAAAAAAGGGTCATCTATGATAAATTTTACAAGAAAATTAGTGAAACATAAATAAATTTGATCATCAAAATAATAACTTTAAATTAGTCGTTGAAACAAAAAAAAGTAAAAAAAAATTATGTCTGAGTAGGATTAAATATACCCATATGAGATTATGTTTTTTTTAAAAAAACATATTAAAAAAATAAAATTAAAATTAATTTTTTCACTTCTGTTAGAGGAAGAGGGTATATGTGAGCCATTCGTATAATAGTAGGGGCATATATATATGAGCCACTTTTGTAATGAGGGGTATATCAACTCTAAATGACAAAGTTAAGGGGTATATCAGGCCCTTTTCCCTCTAACAAAAATGAATATTTTGGAATTTGGCGTGTTGGTGCGAAGGAATTTTTTTATCAAAAAATTTTTTTGCAATAAATTAAGTGGATTTTTTTTTATGATTGTTATGTTAATGTATATAAAAAGTTTGATTTAATTATATTTATATATAATTTAGACAAATATTATGAGAAATCAGTGAAGTGTAAGGGTGTGGGGTGGTAAAAATGAAGGGTGGGAAAGACACCATTTCTCGCCAAGGAGAAGATGCGAGTTAGATTCCCGCTATCCACCCAAGATCCAACATAAAGTATTTTTTTTTTACTATTTATCTTTGTTATTGAATTTCATAAAATAACATTAAATATATTATTAAGAAAATTAAGGAGTCGGTAGAGTTGGTCGTGATAGTGTAGTGATTCTACTCCTCTTCTATGTTTTCTTTTGCCTTCCACCCCCAAAAAGAGAAAGGTATGAATTAATTACTAGTTAGCAGAACAAGATGTTGCGGAGGCAAGATTTAGATTTGGGACCTCAAGTTATGAGTCTTGCGTGCTACCAAACCTACAATGCATGCAAAATGTTTTCACTTCACAAAACTTGTTTTCCCACCTCCGCTAGAAAAGTCATTTTCCTCATTTCTAAAAAAATATTTTTGACAAATTAAATATAAAAAAATTGAAAAATATCGAAAGTGGGAATTCATCTTTGAGAAAATGGATTTTGTTATGTATTCTTGAAAAAATGAAAAGGGTGGTTGGGGGTTGTGGTGGTGGTGGGATTCCATGGGAAAGTCATATTTTTTGGGCTATCATGATTATTTCGTTGTCAAGGTAAGTACCGTGACTTTTAAGTGACAAAACAAGTTTGTGTTAGTACTTTGGTGCAAAAAATTGTATTCGTGTGAAATTTAACCGGCACTATAATTGCACATTTGTTGTTTATTTTACCAAACATGTGTTTGTAGAAAAAATATACTCAAGATTTCAGGAAAAAATTTATAATTTCTGATGCAAATTTTATAGGAAAAATTACAGAAATTCCACCTTTTAGTTTACTTATTACCATTATCCCCTATAAGTTTTACAAATCTTCAAAATCCCTCATTTTCGCGCATCAGATTAGTGTATCTCGCGCATCAGATTAATGTATCAGCGCTTATATTATTGTATCTCACGCATCAGATTAGTGTATCATGTATAAAATGTATATCAGATTAGTATATCATGTATAAAATGTAATGTATCTTACTTAACGATTAATGTATCTCGCGCATCAGATTAATGTATCAACGCTTATATTATTGTATCCGTTTGAGGAATTTCTGTAATTATAAACTTTTAAGGGATATATTATAATTTTGCCTTAAAAGTATGTGATTTATGTAATTTACCCAATTTTATAAAGTAACTAGGATTGTGTAATTCTAAAGTGACTAAACTTGAGTAAATATTTTGTATGGAAAAAATTATCTAATTACACAAATATTTCTACTATAAATACTAATCTACTTGAAATAATTACATGGTCGTCTTATTAATAATAATTTCATATTAGATTTCAAATCGAATACACCACTCCTTCAAATTTCAAGTCAGATACATGTATCAAGAATAATAAATACATGTATCTTTCGTTTGACTCTCATGTATTCGGCGAAGTTAATATGATACAGAAGATAATTTCAAAAACTAGTGAGATTTGTGTTGTTGGCTGATTTTGTATACTATGGCTAAAGCTTAAACTGGGTACCAAAATTGTGTATCTTTGCACTAGGCTCGAATTCAAGGCAAACATATATAATTGGGCCATAGAATGTCCAGTTGGTAAAATTTGTCACGGGCCTCAGATGTGTGAGCAAATTTGGATGTAGTTCACTCTAAGTCATTTCTATTTGGAAAATGGAAAGTGGCAGGCACTGATTAGTAATGGTGATGGCGGATCCCGATGTAGAAGAAGAAGTCGCAATAACAGAAACTCAGCTGGAAAAGCTTAAGAAATGGGAACGTAGGAAGGATTTTCGATCTCTTTCCGATCCACCACCAGTCGGTTGCTCTATGTTCGAGATCCGTGATAATCCACTCCACAAATCTTCCGGCGAGTTCGCCGTCTTTCCTCCGGTAAACCACGAGAACCTTTACATATCCGTAAATTCACTTCAAAAAACTCATAGCCAGTCATCGTCGCCTCCGTTTCCCTCATCCCCGTCGCTGTCGTCGTTATCATCATCCTCATTTTCACCTTCTCATAGAGATAACGATGATTCGTCATATTCATTCGCAGCCTCAGATTCCAATGTAGTGGATCCAGTGAAATCTGTACCAGATAGTCCTCGTCCCCCAGCCAGAGCATCTTGTTTTCAAGGAAGATGGTGGAATTTGGGACTGCAAGTGTTGTTTTCTAGAATCGCCTGCAATGGTATGTTAAACCGGGGTTTCACTTCAGCTCGAAGGGCTGTAACGATTGTTCTGTCGCCGTTCGGAATGGCGGCAATACTTGTGATGTTTGCGTATTTTCGTAGGCGACGAAGATTGATTAGAGCACAGAATGGGGAAGAGCTGAGACGTACCATTAGAGCGAAAGATGAGGTATGTTAATTTTTGCTACAAAAATTCCCATGAGTTAATCAGTTTTAAATGCAGTCTTGATTTATAATCCCTGGTTGTTCGTTTTTTTGCAGAGAATAAATCAACTTCTAAGTCAAATAGCAGAGATGAATCAGGTATTTGTGGCTATGCACAAACGTAATCTGTCCAAGAATTAGCTGAAATTAGTATGTGTAGTAGTATTATGCAGTGTAGGGATAGTGGTCAATAGGCACACATTCATCGTGCTGAATGTGAATGCTCCAAGTCCATTAACGTACTGCTGTGTATGTATGTAGTTTGAAACTCAATTCTTGCAAATATACTAAAAATGGTAGAATAGCAGCTTCATTGTTTGTTTAGATAGTCAACAAAATATGCAAATGGCCGAAGATGTAACAGCTAACTAAGCATCATATGTCCTGTTATTCCAGAGATACGACACCCCGGACCAAAGAAAGTCATTGATCTCAGTTTAACCCTTTCCTTGTTGCTTTCAGGTTTAATCTTTCCTTTAGGCTCATAATCTTATGCAACTGAACTCATGGTTCTACGCCCTGCTTGTTTGCTAGGTCACTCACTCTACCGAGGGGGTAACAAAGGCTCCAGCTCATTGTAGTTGGCTAAAACCTATAATCTTTCTGTTTAGTGTACATCCCGGAAACAGCTCTGTATCTGCACCCATATATTGGAAAGCCTGCAACTCTAAAATTGTGACCCAGAACAGCTTTAAGAACAAACTATGAGAGCTGTGTGACAATGAGGAAGAACAAAGTTTACAGTGAATTATATAGATTGTTAAAACGATACCTAGGCTACCACCAGGGAAGAAAATACTTGCTAGTCCTTGGCTTCCTGCAAGTACTCCATCATGGCCTCAATCTGGTACTTAAGTGTCAAATTCAGTAGCTCTCAAATGCTAGGGAGTATTGTATCTTAAGTTCTTTTCCTGTCCTCTATTTTCCGTTTTCCCCCAAACACAACTCAGGCTACGTAAATAGCACTGTACGTGAAGTGTCTCATTTCCAACTATTTTAAGAGATCATCAATTAGTGAATAAACATTCTGAACTCCCAAACCATATATGGAGGAAAAATTGAAGCTGATCAATTGCATCAATCAACTGTAAGATACAAAACTACATTGACAAGAATACAGGATTATATCTATGTGAGTGCTTGCTTCAACAATTTTCTGCAATGGCCTTGTAAATGATAGTTTTGTGCAGAGCTTGTGGATGTACTGCACAACTTTTGTGGCCTTTCAAAAAGAAAAAACAGTTGCCCTCAAACCACCATCTGCTGGACAAGTTATCGATATGATGGAACTACTCAAACTTTGGTGAAAAGGCTAAAGAATGAAAGAAGATGTATTAATACTGGTACATTTCCAAGTTCATATAACTTTATGATCCACTATCATATACCAAAAAATCATTAACCAAAAGAAAAAACCGTCCAAGAATTGCAATTATACAAGTGTGATTACATCTTATACCTACCAAAGCTGTAGGTTGAGAGTGAGTAACTCGTGTTGAAGCTATCTAGACGAATTCTACACTCATTCTATTTGATTCCAGCCGTTTTTTCCAAACACATCATTCATACAGTTCAAAAGTCATCTCGCTGAGAAACTAAAATGTTGCTAGAAATAAGTAAACCTAACACAAACTTAAAACCGTGGGAGGAAAAAAAAGATGCAAGGCTTGACCACCAAAGTATAACAACCAGAAGAAGCACGACCACTTCATTCCGAGAGTGCCATTCTCATCCATGACAGGTCAAAACCTCAGTCGCACCCTGTGGAAAATTACTGTTATTATGGACGGTAAAAGATCAAGAAACTTGGGAAACTGTTTAGACCACAAATAACAAATAGTGTATAATGATAACAAATTCCGTCCTTTAGCTCTGACACAATGTTTTTAAAAAAAGGTGCAGTAGAGAGAACAGCGCTTCAGAAATAGGAAGCCTAGATTAGCAGTATTTTCAGTTTCAATGGGATTTGCATGGCAGTTAATATGCAGCGCCGTAAAACCAACATCATCCAGCCCAAATCCATAGTTGCACATCCACTAATCATAATCCCAAGTTATATGGAACTGAGGCATAGTAGTTTTTATTTGGTGTATGTTACTTCATCATAGAGTTTAGACAAAACAGAGGACTCAACAAAGTACAAGCCATATCATATGAATACATTATTATTTAACAGGTGACTTGAGATAAATCATTGAATAGAAAGGTAAAAAACAAATCAAAATCTAATATCTAATGATGAACTCGATAAGCCAAAGCAGATACTTCATAAGAAGAAAACAAACAACAACTACTATGCCTCAATCTCAATCTAGCTATGATAGGTTATATCTATGTCGTGTATTCTAAGATTCATCACATATTAATCAGCTTTACACGCTGGTTGTTGATCTACCACAATCCTCTTCCTTATGATAATAAAAGAGATTCAAAAAGACCATCACCAATATAGACATTTTAATTCGAAGGAGACGTACTAATCCAAGCTCTCAAATAAAACAATATAGCAGTCCTCTAAATCAGTTACCCTCACCCACCCCTGGTCCCCATTCTAAGGTAAGGCATGCTTTCTCATTAGAAAGATAGGGCAAGTCATCAATACTACCAACTAGAAGATGTCCCACCTCAAATTAAAGAGGAGAAGGGAGAACTGCCAAGATTCTTAATCTCCCAAGTCACAAACATCATAGAATTTACAGAGAAAAAGAACTCAACCCTGATATATCGACATCAATCTAGCAATTAAACAAGCATTTTCATTCAGAAATTCCATTTTTACACTTTTCCCCCTCTCTTTTTTTTTTGGGTGGTGAGGGGGGTAAAAATGGAGGCTGGGTAAAAGGTCTAATCGCAAAAAGGCCCCTGCTAGAATGTAGAGCTAAAGTTACATTTGACTACTTGGAAAACCTAACAGCAAAACAGAACACCAAATCTGATGTCAGGCATTCGATTAACAAGCCAATTAGGAGTTTCCATGTGTTAAGCTGGACAAATCTAATAGAAGATAGGGGGATGTCATTTACAAAACAGGGTCACAATGCTGATAACTCAGGCGGGAGGAGAAAATAGATGAACAGTGATTGTGCATCAGCAATACAACAGTTATGGTAAACAAAAATACTAATGAGAAACTAAAATCTTGTCAACACATTCGGAGTACAAGTTATTCAAGAATGACCGAAACACAATTAGGAAATGTGCAATGGTTACTCAGGTTTCAAGACGTAACATGATGCGGAAGGGAGCTATGTGACATGTTTACATTAGTGTGTTAAAGGTCAAACTACATACTCAACAAACCAAAATGTGTCTCATATACCTGCAGATTCTTCTGTGCAAAAGCTGGTGTGGCCACTAGCTCTGAGTTTCTGTGCTCTCATGCTTTGCATGTCGAACATCTAACTGATCTACATACTGTAGTGGATTATCTGTTTCATTCCTAATCCTTTTGATGTTTGGGCTCAACAATCCCTTATGTCTAAACCCATACAAGTTAAGCACTTGATTATCTGCAAAATTGAAAGCCTTCTCCATATTTTTCAAGCACCTCTCAGCAGGATAATCTCCATAGCTCCCACATGGCTTGCATCCCACAAAATGAGTCACGAATGGCCATCTTTCATCGCCCAAACCTGGATGGTACTTCTCAATCATCTCCTCATACCTATCAACTAACCCTGCCCAATATCCATGTAGATAGTAAGAATTCTCAATGGACACCTTGTCCATCCACTGATCTTTCTGTGAGGTCAGCAAGTATATTAGGGCAGACTGATCATCTGCTTCGAATGCTGGTCTGCCCTTTAAGTTAGCTGTCAACACCTTCCCAGCTTCTTCACGAACAGGACCTTTCGGCCCCATTGGTGCCCATGTATCCAACAAATCAAGAGACCACTGGCAATTCCTTAAGAGGAAACTACCCGTGTTTATCGCAACCCATGATTTCTGATCAAACAATAGATCTGGGTAGCCATGAATAACAAGATTGTGATCTTCGTACTTGGAAAAAGGGATCTCAAAAACCATATCAGTGAATAAAGCATCACTGTCCATCCACCATATCCACTCTACTTCAGGGTGTGACAACATTAGCCTACGAATCAACGGCAGTTTAGCCCAATACCCAGCCATTTCCATTTCCAATTGAGCTAAATTATAAACAATTTCAATCCCATGGATCCTACAATAATCAATTTTATTCTTTATAGCCTTCAACAAGTAATGATCCCCAATTGGATTATCACAAGGGGTCGGCGGCGAACCAGTTACTAGCATAACACGAGGCTTACCTTGAACAAAATTAGGGAATTCAGGGTTTTTCTGAAGCCAGAGTTTCTTGTCTTCATCCCAGGCAGTAATCTTCGGACCTAACCTGTACGTTGCATTAAGGCTGAAGAAGTCATCCGGGTCCTTATCGGATCGGATCTCGGCTATGATCCGGTTAGTCTCCTCGATTAGATTCAGGTTCTCAGCATCAGGTCCTGATGAAGCGAGATTGCCGAAACCAATTGTGCCACGTAGGACAAGGATAGTAACAAAGCCGCAAAGAAGAGTAATCTTAATGTTGTTGAAAGTACGTTGGATCTGTCTTCCCCGAGGTAAAATGGAACTGGCACGGCCGCCTCCGGCGCCGCCGTTGGGTGTGGCGGTGGTGGGTAGTGCTCCACCAGCTCTTTTCTGAGCTGTGAAGCTGTTGTCTGGACCCATTAAGCTCAGCCTCTCTTTTTTAGTGTAAAGAGAAGAAATTGGGTAATGGGGGGTTTTAGAGGAGAGGAAAACAGAATGACATGGGAGTCAAAAGAGTGAGAAATGGAGAAGAGATAGGAAGAAGTAAGGAAGAGACAAAGCACCGACGATGGACTGTAGTTTTTCTGAGGAAACTACAGTAAAATTATTATTGGTTTTGTAATGGTTTGTTTCGTTAATTTAAGCTTTGTCTATGCCGTTTTGAGTTTAGTTTATACATAACAGTAATAAAATCCCGCTGTTTGCGGGCTGGATTTAACGCGTTATTATGAAGCCCATGTTCTTCTTCCTCCGTTTGTTGAACTAACATTTAAATAGTCATTACCAGCTTCCTTTCAAGTTTCCTCAATTACCAATTCCACCCTTGTGTGTTTTTCTCACGACATTGTCCTTCAATTCATTCTATTTCACACCCACGACTTTATGAAAGAGATCAAGAAAGATTAAAATATATTTAGAATTGACAGACAGGTACGAGTTTTAACTTTACAACAATATAGGTGAAAAATACTTGTTACTCTTTTAAGTTAAAAATTAAAATTAAAGTTGAGAAGACTAGGATAGAGATTATTTTATTGTTATTCCATGAATATAGGTATAATAGAGTAAATGAAAAGTCAGACAAATATAATTTCAAATGCTAGTTATTCACAATCACAATTATCACATAAAACATCTCACCTGAATAAGTCAAAATTATACTCCTAAGATATTTTAATAATGCGATTCAGTCAAAATTAAACATCTAATTTCACATGATAAAAATAGTGTTTTTTTTTATTGTCTTTGCTATGTTATTACGATCTACATTTAATAATTAGTACCCAGTAGGCTAATACTCTAGAAATGCAAGACCTTAGTTTTCGACAATTAAAGTACCATTAATTAACTCTAGAGAAAATTAGATTTAGAACTAGATGGCCACTCATATTCATTTGTTCTTGCCGGCTTATCTTAACTTTATCATGTGCAATGTGCTCAAACTACCATTTAGATCCCATCAAAGTACAAAAAATAAATAATAGTAGAGTATTATTTTAATGCACATAAATTGTGTGCAGATCCTTAAAAAATTAATATATAGCCTAATATCATATTAGACTAATAGGATGATTAACGACATATATAGGCTTGTTTGTCCAAGGTTTATCTCAATCAAAAGTTTCATATATTAATTCAATACTCGATACATACCTTTTCAAAATTGAGATTGCACAAATAGTTATATTCTTGTTAATTCAGTTGGTTAAATTTTTTCTGCAAAACTAAACGTAAAATTCATCAAATTACTTTTAAAGGTGAAATTTATTAACTCATAAACTAACAAAGATAGAGTTTAAAGAGATGTTTAAAAGTGGTCAGATTAGTGATAGTATACACCCGTAGCATGACGAGATGGGCCTTGGGGGCTACTATGATGCACAACTTTTCTGAATTAAATTTTTAAAAATCTCGTATATGAGACAATTATTATAACATCTGAATTTTAATATATACTTTATTATATTTTATGTCAAATGATTAAAGATTGGTCCGAAATTAATTGAGTCAGTGATTTAACTAATCATATGAACAGTCCAAACAGAACAGGCATATTTATAGCATCTTACCGCCCTTTGTTATCTGCCAAATTATCAAATATTATTTTATTTTTCGTCATGGTCAAAGCCAGAAAACACCTTTTATATGCTTAATAGAAAACAGATAATTAGATCAAGAACATTTGTAAAGAAGATGGATAATTCCTTCACAACAAGGTCTCGCAATAAATTTTGGTTTGTTTTCTTTTTTTTGTTTGTTTCTTGGTACTTATTGCTTTATGGAATTGATTGGTCTTCTTTACATGGAATTGTAACAACGTCACGATACGAAGTGAATTCAATTGAATCCTTTCATCCAACTTCTATTCCTCCGCCTCCACCTCATGTTGATGTTAGCTCCAATTTCAATTCTACAAGTTTTGATAATGCCACCAACGAGACGCGATCCAAGGAGGAAGAATCGTTGTCTAATGAAAATGATAATGTGGTAGTACCTGATTTGGAGGAACTCCAGAAAGAATTGGAACCTTTTTTAAGAAAAATCGAACCTCCAAAAGAAGAAAAGAAGGTTGAGAAAAAAATCGAAAAAAAGGATGATAACAGGGGAGGAAAATGTGCAGGACGATATATATATGTTGCAGAAATACCTAGTAAGTTCAATGAAATTATGTTGAAGGAATGTAAATTGTTGAATAAATGGGAAGATATGTGTCAATATTTGGTGAATATGGGGCTTGGCCCTGATCTTGGAAACCCACAAAGGATTTTTTCGAACAAAGGTTGGTATACTACAAATCAATTTTCGTTAGAAGTCCTGTTTCATAACAGAATGAAACAGTACGATTGTCTAACGAATGATTCCTCTGAAGCATCAGCAGTTTTCGTGCCATACTATTCAGGGTTCGATGTTGCTAGGTACTTATGGGATGATTTCAATACATCAATGAGGGATGCAGGTGCAATTGAGGTCGCGAAATTTCTTAAGGAAAAACCCGAATGGGAGACAATGTGGGGCAGAGATCATTTCATGATTGCAGGGAGAATTACTTGGGATTTAAGGAGAGGTATTGAGGAAGATGCAGCTTGGGGGAACAAGTTAATGTTGTTACCTGAGGCAAAGAACATGACAATCTTAACAATCGAATCGAGTCCTTGGAACAGGAATGATTTCGCCATTCCATATCCAACGTATTTCCATCCTTCAAGTGACAGTGATGTAGTCCAGTGGCAGAACAGGATGAGGGGGTTAAGGAGGAAGGTGTTGTTTTCATTCGCGGGGGCTCCACGTCCTCAACTTGAGGACTCAATAAGAAGTGAAATCATGGAACAATGCTCAGCCACGAGGCGAAAATGCAAGCTATTGGAGTGTAAGGACTTACACAACAAATGCAACAAGCCTGTACATGTAATGAGGCTATTTCAAAGTTCAATCTTTTGCTTACAACCCTCAGGGGATTCATTCACTAGGAGGTCTACTTTCGATTCAATTTTGGCTGGTTGTATCCCAGTGTTTTTCACTCCTGGATCCGCGTATGTCCAATATATATGGCACTTACCAAAAGATTACACCAAATACTCGGTGCTTATTCCGGAAGATGATGTTAGGAAAAAGAAAGTGAGCATTGAAAATGTACTATCTAAAATACCAAAATCACAAGTAGCAGCAATGAGAGAGGAAGTGATAAAGCTTATACCAAATGTAGTTTATGCAGATCCAAGATCAAGATTGGAGACAGTTAAAGATGCATTTGATTTGGCAGTGAAAGGGGTTCTTGGAAGAGTGGATGTAATAAGAAAAGAGATGAGACAAGGCAAGAATTCAAGTATGGTGTTTGATGAAGAATATAGCTGGAAGTATCATACATTTGGGACATTAGAAAAGCATGAGTGGGATAATTTCTTTTTGAGAACCAACAAAGAGAAGTACTAAATTATTTGTTAAATTCTTGCAAGTTAGTTGTATGTAGTCTCTAGCTTGCTAGTTTAATGTAAAGTATGTATTTTATCTCATATCTGTTGTATACCCTATAGAGTTTTTTTTTTTCCTTCTTCTTTTAAAGATTTTTATAAGGTTTTGGTTGACATGGAAGTTCTCCTTGTCTCTTTAAAGACAAATATGATTCTCAAATATTCAAGTCGTGTTTTTAATTTGTCAAAATTGAGTCCTCTAAGTATACTATAGTGATAACGGGTTGATCTTTCCTAAGAGCTCATATCGATCCCGTTTGGCCATGTGAGGTTGTATTTATGTTTTCAAGGGTTGGATTGTTCGCTCATTAAAGCGTACATGAGTTGAATTTAAGATATTGTGAGACAGTTTAATCCATATCAAGTTAATTAGGCTTTAGAGCATTGAGAGGTCTTTTCCTAGTACAAGAGGACCGGGAAGGACGCACCTACAATTTCAATTATCGTATCCGTAACAAATGAAAAGGCATCTAAGCTATAAGACCATTTTAAAATGAGTGCTCTCCTATTCCAAACTTTCATACTTCAACATATATATATGAAGATGATAATGCTTTTAGTTATACAAGTTACTATAAACCAAAAGTATCCCTATAGATCCTCCCTTGTCCTAATATTATGTCTTCTAACAATAATATAAGATGTCTCAAGGAGCCAACTAACAAGATAACAAAACAAATGTTACAAACAACTACATGGGCCCAACAAGTGTGCACTGTCGAGCAAGCCCAACACATTCAATTGGAAGGACATGAGCTACCTCACAATTTACTAGGTAACTCGATAAATTTCACATATGATCATAAACAAATTTTGAATTTAAACTTGATGGATTAAATCTTTAGGATCTTTAGTACCAAATCCATTGCAAGTATAAAATTAAGAGTTCAAATTTTATTAGATTTTCACTATATATTTATACCTTTTGTAGAAAAAAAGAGCATGATTTTCATTAAAAATCAACAAGAAAAAAATGCACTACCACGAGCAACATAAACATAACTAGCAGTGCTCTAGAACATAGACACATCACACAAGAAAACGAGAGGGAAAATGACTCTTTAATTAGTTAACTTTATTTTTTAAAGTGATAGTGGTCTGACTAACTTATTTATTTTTTACTTAAATTAATATTTTGCTTAATTACTTTAGAATATTGCTCGTCACACATACTTGCTTAGCATGATTTATCTTTCTTGTATAACTAGTAAATTTGGCCGTGCTTAGCGCGGTCCTCAATAACGACTTTTCAAAAATAATGATCAACTTTTTACTTTTTACTTCAAAATTCTTCTTTTAAAAAAATTCAAAATATAATTTTGTATTAATATAAATTATAATTTGAGATCAAGACCTTGTTGTTTGCTAGTAATAACTCATACATATATCAAACTAGATATGGGACCCCGTGCCAGCACGGGGCCCAATATATGTTACTGTTTCTGTTTTAATTTATGTGGTACATATGAACTTTGAAGTTAATCAATTTTTTAGTATGTTTTTATATATTTTAAGTTGCTAATTATTTTTTTAGAGTATGTTTTACGTAAATATATTATAAATCACAATAAATAACAAGTTAATTTAAAAAAAAAAAACTTATAAAAAATTCATTGACTTTTGAAATTTCA